AGACAATGCAACCTAAGTGTAATGTATAACAATGCGGAAAGGGATGCAAAACAATGCAACCTAAGTGTAACGCATAACAATGCGGAAAGGGATGCAAAACAATGCAACCTAAGTGTTCATGACAATGTAATGCACTAATAAATGTAGGTAAGGTGCACAAGATAGCGCGATGCAATGCACAAAACAGCGCGATGTGCAAGATAGCACGAGTGAAATGCAATGCACTAACAGGTGCATATGAGGTGCGCAAAATAGCGCGAATGAAATGCAATGCACTAATAGGTGCATATGAGGTGTGCAAAATAGCGCGAATAAAATGCAATGCACTAACAGGTGCATATGAGATGCGCAAAATAGGGCGATGCAATGATAATATAGTAGATACAAAAAGGGTGACATACTCCAACCATGCTGGAATCATGAGAGGAGGAAAAACCAACAATCAGGCGCGTATACAACGCAACCTGAGATAAATTCCAAACACGCTGAACTCGTGTAAGGAAAGGGACACTCAAACCATGCTGAAAACGTGAGAGGAGGTCCAAAACAACCCGCCTAGTCGCGTGTACAACACAACCTGAGATAAATTCCAAACACGCTGAAATCGTGTAGGAAAGGGACACTCAAACCACGCTGAAATCGTGAGAAGAGGTCCAAAACAACCCGCCCAGGCGCGTATACAACGCAACCTGAGATAAATTCCAAACACGCTGAAATCGTGTAAAGAACACTCAAACCATGCTGAAATCGTGAGAGGAGGTCCAAAACAACCCGCCCAGGCGCGTATACAATGCAACCTGAGATAAATTCCAAACACACTGAAATCGTGTAAGGAAAGGGACACTCAAACCATGTCGAAATCGTAAGAGGAAGTCCAAAACAACCCGCCCAGGCACATATACAATACAACCTGAGATAAATTCCAAACACGTTGAAATCGTGTGAGGAAGAACCAAACTCTAACCACGCTGAAATCGTGAGAGGAGGTCCAAAACAACCCGCCCAAGCGCGTATACAATGCAACCTGAGATAAATTCCAAACACGCTGAAATCGTGTAAGGAAATAGACACTCAAACCACGCTGAAATCGTGAGAGGAGGTCCAAAACAACCTACCCAAGCGCGTATACAACGCAACCTGAGATAAATTCCAAACACGCCGAAATCGTGTAAGGAAAGGGACACTCAAACCACACCGAAAACGTGAGAAGAGGTCCAAAACAACCCGCCCAGGCGCGTATACAATGCAACCTGAGATAAATTCCTAACACGCTGAAATCGTGTGAGGAAGAACCAAACTCTAACCATGCTGAAATCGTGAGAAAAGGTCAACAAATTCCAAATCCACTGAAATCGTGTGAAGAAGAACCAAACTCTAACCACGCTGAAATCGTGAGAAGAGGTAAAGAGGGAGAAACATAGGGACATATCCCCGTCTCTGGGAGTGAAGGAGAAACATAGGGACATATCCCTGTGTTTCGAAATGGTACAAGCATTGGAACGTATTCCAAATGCTCTAAACCAAAAAGGGTGAAACACAGGGACATATCCCGATGTTTCGGAATGGTACGAGCATTAGAACGTATTCCAAATGCTCTAAACCAAAAAAGGAAAAACATAGGGACGTATCCCCGTGTTTCAAAATGGTACGAGCATTGGAACGTATTCCAAATGCTCTAAACCAAAAAAGGAGAAACATAGGGAAGTATCCCCTTGTTTCGAAATGGTACGAGCATTGGAACGTATTCCAAATGCTCTAAACCAAAGAAGGAGAAACATAGGGACCTATCCCCGTGTTTCGAAAGAAGGAAAGTGTGCATAACAATACAACAAGAGGAAGGTACACCTCTCAGTGTATCACATGCCAGAGGAAAAAGGAAAAACCTCTCAGCATAGCACACGCGAGAGAGGAAAGGGAAAAATCTCTCAACGTAGCACATGCGAGAGAGGAAAGGGGAAAACCTCTCAGCGTATCATTCATGAGAGAGGAAAGGTAAAACCTCTCAGCGTATCACACGCGAGAGAGAGGAAAGGTAAAACCTCTCAGCGTATCACACGCCAGAGAGGAAAGGCAAAACCTCTCAGCTTATCACACGCTCAGCGTATCACACGCTAGAGAGGAAAGAAAGCATCTCTCAGCGTATCACACGCAAGAGAGGAAAGAAAGTCTCTCAGCGTATCACACACAAGAGAGGAAAGAATATCCAAACGCACGCCAAACGCGAGAGGAGAAAGGTATTAGTCAAACTGAACCGGAATTTCTGAATGAACAGCACATACAATACCGTGCATAAATAAGAAAGAGACTAGATAGGTAGAATGAAATACAATGCAAGATGCTAAAGGAATGCAATAAACAAACACAGCAGCGCTTTAGAAAGCACCTCACGAGGTGAGTGGCGATAAACCGCTTTACTCTGACGGGGATCCCCCCCTCATGTTCCTCGAACACTTACCTTCAACTCACATGGTACAAAGGTGCTGAAATGCTGACAAGGAGCAACATCTGCTGGGGAAGTCACGAATGCCGCTTTTCTTCCTGATCATATTCACAACTTTCCCTATTCTTCAATGGAGTGACAGACTAGGTTGGTTCAGTATCCAGAATCGAGATGCATACCCGCTACCTCAACCTATGGGGCTTCCATACAGATTTCAAGCCGAGGATACACCCCTGGGTATTTAAACCAGACTTTAGTCTTGGAAATTCCAAACCTTTGTGTTCTAGGCATCAGCCATTTGAACTCTAGTTTTCACCGTCGCAGTTGATCTCCTAGGAACTCATTGTAAACATAGCCAAGGTACCTTTGATAGGAACGATGCTCAGGGACAGCACTTATGATCGCCGTTCTGGCATTAAAACAGTTGACACAATACTCTGTTTACTTTGAACACACAGCTCGTACCGCGCACTGCTCATTCTGAACACATAGCTCATAACACAATATTCTATTCACTTTGAGCACACGGCTTACTCTGAACACACAGCTCATAACACAATACTCGGTTTATTCGGCACACAGCTCATACAGCATACTGCTTACTCTGAACACATAGCTCATAACACAGTACTCGGTTTATTTGGCACACAGCTCATACAACACACTGTTCACTCTGAACACACAGCTCATAACACAGTACTCGGTTTATTCGGCACACAGTTCATATAGCATACTGCTCAGCTCATAACACAGTACTCGGTTTATTCGACACACAGCTCATACAGCATACTGCTCACTCTGAACATACAGCTCATAACACAGTACTCGGTTTGTTTGGCACACAGCTCATACAGCATACTGTTCACTCTGAACACACAGCTCATTTTGAACATACGAGATGCAATGACGGAACTTGTAGATGTTGAGACACGCTCAGATGCCCGACATTTTCCCTCTTTCCTTTTGTTTTGCAGTCTGGAACCCATATAGCTTCAGATAGGTCCTAGTTCTACTATTCTCGCATGACCTGGGTTGAACCCTGCAGTTTTATGAAAGAACAAATCCTGTTTGGCACATATGTGGAGAATGGCATAGCACTCTGAGTATAAAACGATTTTATTTTTGAATTTGAAATTGAGAAACCAGGTATTAAGCCTATGACTGACCACAGCAAAAACGACTCAACCACGGAAAACAAAGGTAAAACAACCTAAACACATCTATTGACATCCAAAATGACTCAAAACAAGAATCGAGACAGACAAAACACAACAAAACACAAGACTCAAATGTGCACAGGGAGCCTGCTTCTCCGGGTATTGTTTCCCACCCTTCCTTATTTGTGATTCTCACATCACTCAACCCTCAGGCTTTGTTTTTTTTTTTTTTTTTTTTTATGTGACCACAAAGGGATAAAAGAGCAACAGAAAAAAAACAAGTTACTCCCACTCTTCCTAGCAAGATTAGCATCAGCTTCCTTTGAGAGTTAGCTAAAAAGCTAAGTTTATTAGCCAAAAGTAAGCCAACAAAAAAGATAATACTAAGAAAAGTTAGTTAATTTAACCTATTCCAATCGTTTTGACTTTTTTAATGAGTTTCTGGAGTGACTAAAGTCAACTTTTTGATTGGAAATGAGTATAAAAAAATAGGTTTTCTTAACCAATAAACTGACTTTTAAGAGGTTGCCAAAGGAAACAATGGCGGTGTCAAGGTTGTTAAGATCGGGATCCTACATAGGATCGTTTTGGGGGTCTGTAGGATCAGATCAGGGATCGTAGGATCCTACAAAAACGATGAAAAAATGCAATTATTCTTATATGTCTAACTAATACTATCAAAATACATATAAAATGACCCAAAAAAACTTGAGAATGTAGCTCAAATGGTAGAGCTCTCATACTTATGAGCAGATCGAGGTTCAAATCCTCGCATTCTCACTTGTGCACTAACAATAATCAATTCAAATATACATTTTACACATTTTTTTAAACAAAGAAAACATAATAAAAAAAGGTGGCCATTCAAGTTGTCATTCAAACATTTTCCTCAAATCTTAACAAAAAAACATATTAAAAGAAAATAGCAATTCAACTTCAAGTCTTCAAGTTAACACTTGCACAACATTGATATCCTTAACAAAACAAACTAAAATAAGAGAAGAATAAATAAACAAGAGGCTAAAACAAGTCATCATCTTCATCGCCGAAATCATCATTGCCACAATCAACAACATTGTTGATCTCATTGTCTCCCTCATCTTCATCATCACCCACAGTGTCACCCAACTCCTCAATGTCATCATCACCAATAGTAGCATCATCAAAGTCATCATCAAAATCCCTTGGAGCATTCATGTTGTCATCCATATCATCATCATCACTTACTTCATGAATTTCATTGACATTTTCTCCAATATGGTCACGACCTAAGTTGAAGAAAAAAAAAATCCAAATTAAATCCAAATTGCAACTTCTAATTAAAACTAAAAGATGTATCATGTACCTAGACTTACATGCTTGTTCCAAATCCCTTGCAAGAGCATCTGCCTCTTCATCTTTTGAATGACATCCATGTCAAGCATTCCTATCAAGCACATGCAACCAATTTCCTTCTCTTGGAAGAGTCGGATTCTCTTTCTCTGTTATCCACTCATCGTCTGATGGAACATCATCCAAACATAATGGATTCATGATTGATTGTCTATTCTTGTGCCTTTGTCTCAGTTTCAAATTGTACATCACAAAGACCAAGTCATTCATTCTCTTTTGGTGTAAACGATTCCTCCGCTTTGAGTGTACCATCTCAAAAGCACTCCAATTGCGCTCACACCCCGATGAACTGCATGTTAGACTTAATACCCTGATTGCAAACCTCTTCAACTCGGGACATTCATCACCAAAAGAGTCCCACCAATCCCCTACATCGAAATTTTAATTAAGTAGTTCAAAATTTAAAGTTCTTCAAAACAAATAATCATAACATAAGATTGATAGATACAACTTACAAATCAACTTAGGCTAAAAATAAATAACCTGGAGATTTCTTTTTTCTAGTCAAGATTGCATTTTGTATACCAAAGAGTCCTCTTGCATTCTTGAATGCATCAATTTGCAAATCTATCTTCACCCTCTCATTAGTGTCAGGGACTATTTTTTCAAGACATTTGTACAACCCAATTTTAATCTCTGCATCAGCTTGAAAATTGGGACTATAATGAAGCTGAGGGTTCAAGAAGTATGCTGCAGCATGCAATGGGTGATGGAGTTGGTTTCCCATCTTCTATCAATGATGGCCCATATAGGATCATAGCTGACACAATTTAATAAATATTATTAATGAATAAATAAATAGTTTATGGAAATAGTATTAAAGAGTAAATAAATAGCCAACACTAAATAAAAAGTTTACCATCTTAGGACATTATTGAAATTCTTTTGAATTTCCTCTTTCGCACGATCCATTGCTTCATAAATGAATCCCATTGCCGGATGCTCATCCGAATCCACCAACCTAAGTACCTTAATGAGAGGTACTGCAGCCTTCAAGCAGGTAGAAACACCCTTCCAAAAATGTCGATTGTCCAAAACAATATTTTCAATTTTTTTCCCCTTTTCAGACTTCGCAAATCTACTATTCCTCCACTTGTTTGATGTAAATAGAGAGAACAATGCACCTTTTTGCTCATGAAGACGTCTCAATGTCAAGTAAGAGGTAGCAAACCGAGTTACCACAGGCCTTATAAGTTCAATGTCTTTGGTAAACTCCTTCATCCAATGAATAAGATTAGTTCTTGAATAAATGTATGCCACAATCCTTTTTCCTTTACCAATTGTAACACGATGAACTTGTATTTCCTTCTCAAAATCTTCTAACATCAAATCTATACAATGGGCGGCACAAGGAGTCCAAAACAAGCCCTTTCTTTTATCCATTAACATGTGTCCCGCCAATTTATAATTAGAAGCATTGTCAGTTACAACTTGTACAACATTTTCTTCTCCAACCTTCTCAACAACCTCATCTAACATCTCAAAAACCTTTTCACCCGTTTTTGAAATGTCGGATGTATCTAGTGATGACAAGAAAATAGTTCCATTAGGGCTATTCACAAGAAAATTACATATGGATCTTCTCTTTCTATCTGACCATCCATCCGACATAATTGTACATCCGGTCTTCTTCCATTGTTCCTTAAACTCATCAACCAATTGTAGTGTCTCATGCACTTCTTTTTTTAAAAATGTCACCCTAATTTCATGGTAAGATGGTGGCACAAGTCCTTTTCCATAATCCCCAATCTTCTTAACCATGAGTGGAAATATAGGGTTGTTCACACAATTAAAAGGAATTGCACTAGTGTAAAAAAAACGAGCTATGGTTTGACAAACATCATCTCTCTCTTCTTTCTTAAACATTTGATTGAGAGTTTTTTGATTTTGACGTCCAGATTTCTTCATCACAAATTTATCTATGGCACCCACCCGTTTTTGTTTGTTTTGATGATGATATGCTAATAGTTCCACCTCCTCTTCAGAATCATCACCAACATCAAACATCTTTCTCTTTTTATTTTGAGACTCTAATGTTTGAGTTCTTAAAAGACTCATGAACTTTCCTCTAACATCTTCTGGGACTTGAGGACATGGCTCAACATTTTGATGAGTACAAGCTAAATGATGTTTTAATCTATATATACCTCCCGATCGAGTCACATTACAATACTTGCATTGTACCTTTTTGGTTGCAGCATCTATTTCAATTCCATGTTCCCAACCAGGATCCGTTCGGTTACCCGCAACATTTTTCCTCTTCCTCCCTCTTCCAGAACCAGAGGCAGACATTGTTAACTCAATTGACAAACCTACAATCATATATTGAATATCACTGAATCAATTGACTACAATTTACAATTTGATAGTTGTGAAATATCAGAGAGAAAAAAGTCAAGTTACAGTAAAAAATAAATTGATTACAATAGTAATACCATGATGCCCTACAAAGGCCTCATTGAAATTATAGATAAGGATAAATTAGAATTTAGAAGTTAATTTACAAATTACAAATTACAAACATTGAATCAATCAACTGTTACCAACATGAACACTAGGTAATCTAAAGTCATGTTACAAATTACAATTACAAATTAATTGAGAACAAACCTGTATGAAATGAAGCTGCACTTTTCCTTGGTGGTACACTGGTATCTGTGCACTTTTCCTTGGTGCTATCTGCAAAATAAATTACAAGTTAAAAATTAATTTAATTAGGTTGACAGGAAAATGGAAAAATGGAAGAAGGGGAAAAATGGAAGACAAAGTGGAAAAGGGGGAAAAAAAAAGGGGAATGAAAGACAGAAAAATGGAAGAAGAGGGAAAAAAAAGGCAGTAGCAGAGGAAAAAGAAGATGGAGGAGAAGAAGAAAATGAGTCGAAGAAGACAAACAGAGGAGAAGAAAGAGTCGAACAGAGGAGAAGAGAAGGACTCGAAGCACAGAAAAAAAGAGAAGAATGAGTCGAACAGAGAAGAAGAAGAAGAAAAAAAGACGAAGCAGACGAAGCATACCTAGAGCTGGAATCTGGAGGATGGAAGCTGCTCAGCAATTTTCCCTCAATATTTTGCCCTAATCTTATGTCGTAAGTGTTTAGAAGAGAGAGAAGATGCATCAAACCTGTAATAAAAATATCAGAAAAAGGCCAAAAATAGGATCGTATAGGATCGCGATCCAAATACGATCCTACGATCCCATTAACGATCCTAACGATCCTGTTCCGATCCTGAGCAAAATACGATTCAGCATGCGATCTAGATCGATTCTCTAAAAATGGATCGTACGATCCTACGATCTAGATCGCGATTTTAACAACCTTGCTCGCTGCTTGGAGGATGAGAGAGCTTTCAGCCCTTTGTTATTTGCTTCAGTTGTGCCCTTTTCTAGCAGGTAGAGTGCCCTTTCTGGCAAGCATGTTGACACCGGGGAAAAGACATGAAGCTTAACTCAACTGTGCCCCTAGTTCATCATTTTGACCATTTTTTGTTTTGGTTTTTTACTAAAACAATTTTGACCAATATGAGAGTTAGATTAACACACTTGTTCAACTTTTTGATTTAAAATCATGCAAGGCAGGTTGTGAGCACTGAAAATTTTCCTTTTTGGGTCCAAGAAATGGTCCAGTTTTGAAAGAAAAGGGATAATTTTCGAGAGAATTAGTCAACCTCAGTAAAAATTCTCAAAAACTATTTTTGCAAATGGCCACTGCTCGACCAACACAGAATCTACTCTTGAGATGCAAAACCTCAGATCCGAAACAATGGAAAATTGCCCCTTGTCGGAAGGACACTGCATGGCAACGGAAAGTTGCCCCTAGTCTGAATAGCGCCGCAGCACATTGCAACCAGTCCTCACAGTGACAATTACAATCGAATTCTCGGATATAGAGAAGACAAAGATGACCAGAACCATCACATGGACAGGACAGTTGCATTTGAAGTGTTTATGGCTGGACTTCAGAATGAAGTTGCCTACGTATCCCAAACATGGGAATCAAGCCTTATGTAGTTCGGGTTAAGGTACACTCGGGCATTTAACCTCACATTTTACGCTCTAACTTTTGCCAACGCGGCCCTTTGCTGGTTTTCAACCTTGCGAGCTATGTTTTTCTTTTCATTTCATTTCTTTTCTTCTTTTTTCATCTTTTCTTTTCATTCTTTGCCCTTTTTTTTTTTTTTTTTTTTTTTTCTTCTCTTTTTTTCTTTTCTTTTTCTTTTTCTTTTTCTTGCTCTAACTTTTGCCTGGGTCGTTCTTCCGGCTTTTCGGCCCAGCGAGCCTCTCAAGGGTAAAAGTGTAGCTTTATCCATGTCAAATGGTTTTGGGATCTCGAAGCCATCTGAATCCAGGAGAGTGGCCGTTGTTCACTGATGATGTAAAAGTCCATCCGATAGGGGCTGAATTTCCCCCAGTGTTGTGGATAGGAACTTAGTTGTCCTTCAGCAATACTTTCTTCTTTCCTCCCTTCTGGGATCTGGCATTCTTGCCTATCTTCATTAATTTGCAGAATGATCCATCTTTGGCTCTTCAAGTATAATCTGACATCTTTTGCCCCTAGTTCGAGGGGTGTTCCTGATCTAGCTTTACAAGCTTCTTTTGATCACATCTGATATTCTCGCCCCTAGTTCATGGGCTGCTTCTGATCCGGCCACACAGGTCTTACATTGTGGTTGACCTTTGAACATTCTGAATCCAAGTTCATAGTTTGAAAGCAAGGGGTCGAGTCTCGAGGCTGAGAACGATCCTAGGCTGCACAATCTCAAGAGCGATTCCATACAGGTCTTTGCAGGACCGCGGAAAACATTTGTTGAAATCTTTTAAGAAAACGACTAATCGCTCGCGCTGAAGACAATGTAGAACAAATCCAGATCAAGCCAAGGTCCTTCTCAGTACTCACATTAACAAGCATGATTTCTTTTATTAAGGGTTTAGCATGCCTCTCTTTCTCTCAGTTGATCAAATTTTACAAAACCCGAGGAATTCCTTCCTCTTCGTTTTCGTCACAATGTTCAAAAAGTTTTGAAAAATTTAGGTCAATGCAATGACTTATAGGCACAGAAGAAGTAGGTGAAAAGTACTACCGTTTCATTCAAACTTCTGGCACAACTGGCGTAAGGCAAAAATAAGTACAAAAGCATGAAAACCACAACTGTTTCATTCAAATCTTCTGGTGTAACTGGCTCCATAATAGAAATAGACCCAAAAGAAAGCAAAAAGACAAACACAAAACAAAATAGTGATATCCGGAGTAACACCCCCTGAATCACCCAACTTCTGTACAACAGGACTAACTCGATACAACAAGACAGACCCAACTGACTTAGTAAGAAAAGACTGACTCAAAACAACGAGACAGACTCTAAGCAACAAAACAAAACTGACTCAATACCCAAGCCAGAACGCAAAACAAACAGCATTCGCAAATGCTCAAAACAGTGCGTGCCAAACGCCACATCTGGAGTAAACTGAGCGTCGCCCGCAGGTGGTTCATCCCCCGATCACATCACATTATCCTCCAGGTTCACTGATCCAATGACGATAGACTTTGCTGAGCTTGGTGGGAGGACGACCCCGTTGTCAAACAAATCCCGTACCTTGTGGCGAAGATGGAAGCAATTGTCAGTGTTATGACCAGTTTGTTGATGGTACGCATAGTACTGAGTAATGTCATGACTTGATGGAAGACGACTAGGGAGAGGCCGAGGCTCGAGGGGTTTGAGATGCCCTTTTTCAGCAAGGATTTCAAGAGCCTTGGAAAAAGGCATATAGAGGGCATGAAAGACCCTACGACCTTGGGGTAGATACATCGAGGTTTGTGGACTTTTGCTGGACACACTAGCAAAGGGGTCGGCAGGTGCTGATTTGGTTTTCTGATCTTTCCCGGATACAGAATTAGGGTTGAAAGGAATGGCTCTGGCACGATGGTCTTTCTCCCGATTTTCCCCTTGGCTTGAACTGCCCTCGTTCTAAGTGACGAAAGTGTCATCCACAGTTTTTGCAGCAACTGCGAGCACTTACTGTTTGTTCAGTCCCCGGCTTTCAAAGCCTCAATAGCCTGCAGAAGTTGTTCATAGGGATCAGTGTCTGCCCCCACCTTGTTCTTACCACTTGCCTCAGCTTGGTCGAAGGTTTGGGTTTCTATATCAGTACGAAGCACTGTTGCTGTTGACATGTTATTGCCGGAACATAGGATGGCTTCAGGCTGGCTGAGTTCAATTACAATTCGCCCTAATAGCGGGGGCTCTTCTGGCATGAAATTTTTGACATATGATGTGGTCGATGGCGGAGCTGACATTCCGAAGGCTAGATCAGTCATAGATCTCTGAAGATCGCTGATCATTCCCATCAGCTCAAAAGTGGTGGGCTCACGGGTTTGGAATGATTGGGGTTCCCAGATTGGATGTACGGCAGGTGACCTGGGTGGGTGTTGCATTTCAACATCGGTCTCACTCTGCATAGTGATTCCCTGGTTTAGTGTTGTTGCCATGACCACAATTTCTTCTGAATTTTGCGTCATCATAGGTCTGCTGAATTGAACGGAGGTGATGTGACTGGTGAGTAATGAATCTGATGAACCGGTGAGCCTTGATTGGCCTTTCTCTGCCTTGCCTCAACGAAGGAAAACACTGGCTGTGCTGAACTAAATCTCTGACCCAACAAAGTCTATCAGCACAAATCTAATGAACCCTGGGGGATATTGGAGCCTTCTGAAGCTACGATTCCCAAGATTACCCCTAGCAAAAGAGAAAACAGGCAGCATCTCAGCCCAATTTCACCAAGACAGATGTAAGCATAGCTGCATGACTGTGTTCTCTACTAAATTCTGCCCAAAATTCTGCCTGTAAACTGATACCCTCTGGTAAACTGATCTCCAGAATACTGATGCCCTCAGGCCTAATACCCGAACTTGCAAACTAATATGCGCATTCTTGTAGAGGTATACTCTAAAAGCACATAGCAAGTAAAGCAAGTCAAAAACACCCCTATGTTAGGGTGGGGTTTCCCTGTCCTATTTTTTCAGGAGCTAGGGTTTCGCTACGCACACAGCGGTTTCAAACAACCTACAATCGGGTAAGCAACTTGTCCTAGTTTGGAATGGTCACTATGGATTCCGAATATGCACTAGGTCGAATGGTAAAAAAGGGTGCCCCGGTAAAAATCGGGATTTGTGTTCCCGTCGTGGCAGAGCCCGCAACCGATCAGCCTTATGGCACGCTTCTCAAAGCGAGCCGCCGGCAAACCGTTCAGGAATAGCATACGGCAAACACGGTGTCCTAGGTGCACCAATACAAATGCAATGCAAAGAGACACATAAGTGTAGTCAAAACAAGATATCATGAGTTCGAGTCAAGTTCTCTAAATCCCCAACAGGGTCGCCAAAAACTGTAGACGCCCCTGCGAGAACTCCCAAGAAAATCTCATTTTGTTCTCTAGTTACTACAGTTAGAACTCACTGTCACAGTTCTAAATCTAATCTCACAATGTGCGATGTAAGACTGATAAATCACCGAAGAGTCCAAATCCGACAAATCGTTTTGGAAAACTGATTTTTAAGAAAGAAGTGCCAAACATGGACTGCTTCGCCAGATACAGAGTCGCCACCTAAATATTTTATTTCAGGAGAATTTAGAAAATCCTGACTCGTGCCTAAGGCCACGTGTCCGTCATCACCAAAGTTGTCTCGGCTTGGGAACTTAGGTACGAGAGGGGCCGCTCGCCCAAACAAAGATCGGCCTGTACTAAACATGATAT